ATCACATTGAGGGCATTCAAGCCAAATGTAACAAATATATAAAATGTTTGTATCCTCTTATTAACAGGAAATCCAAACTTTGCCTGACGAATAAACTTCTAATATTTAAACAAGTTTTTAGACCGGCCATGCTTTACGCTGTGCCAATATGGTCTAGTTGCTGCACTACCAGGAAAAAAGCACTTCAAAGGATTCAGAACAAAATTCTGAAAATGATTTTGAAGTTGCCTCCCTGGTACAGTACAACCGAAGTACATAGAATTTCGAATGTTGAGACTTTAGCACAAATGTCCAACAAAATAATTAATAATTTCAGGCAAAAATCGTTGCAATCCTCAATTGCAACGATTAATTCCCTTTATACTTAGATAAGATTTAGTTTTAGTTTTTAGTTTTAAGATATCAATTGTTATACTGACATGCAGGTTAAAAAACCTGTTTAAAATACTAAATTGCCAAGACATGAACAATGTACAAACACTTAGATATATATCATAACAATTAAGGCTGGTACGTTACTGCAGTAACTGGAGCACCTAGGTTAAAATGAAATGTAATTTATTTTGAATTTGGAACAAATAAAGAGTTAAAAAAAAAAAAAAAATTGAAGGCATAAGCGCTTTTTCGTACACTAATAAAGTTTCAAAGATTGTTTTTATGTGTCCCACACATGATTTTTTGCAATGTGATCAACAAATGATATCTATGTGTCCCACACATACTTAATATGTGTACACATAAAAGTCATGTGTTACAACACATACTATTCATTTGACTCATAAATGTCATGTGTGCTTCTGGGTGGATTCTGTTTATGTGTGGTCACATGAAAAACATGTGGAATTTCACATAGAAATTCGTCAATCAAAATGTGTGGAATTTTATTAGTGTAGCTTTTTTGTCTCCAGGTTTAAAGGGCACCGCCGTCGAGTTTGAGTTTAAATAGATCCCCGGTCCTATCATATTAAGGAGACTTTTAGTAACATCGCCTAATTACCCAAGTAATCACCAAGCCCGTTAATAGCCCTCTGTCGACCTTTTGGCGATGTGAAAATAGAAAAAACTTTATATAAGTCGTATATCAGCATTATATTGCAAAAGGGGCGATTAGCGGGCTTGTTGTTTTTTTTCCTCTGTTAGGGACATAACACCACTGCGACCAGTAATTTGATCTATTGTAGTATATCCCGCGTCCTTAGTTTAGTGCATGTCGTATTACTCCATCACTATTGAGTAATGATGAAGTATAGCTTTAACTTCGATCCAAACATTCCTTTGCAAACCAAAGATGAAATTAATTATGCTCTTGATACTCTGACTACTTCTATAGTTGAAGCAAGAGCTGCCTCAGTACCAAAATGCGAGGTTAAATTCGATTCAATTATAATAAACGACGATCTTCAGCTCTTGATCCGTCTTAAAAATGTCCGTAGGAGACAATATCAAAGAACACGCGATCCTGCCATGAAAGTTAGCGGGATTTGCAAAAACAAATTAAAAAGCGATTCTCTACCCTGAGGAACAAAACTTTTGAAAATAATTTTTCTAAATTAGACCCGAGTTCCAAACCCTTTTGGAAACTCTCAAAAATTTTGAAAAAAAACCTCAAAAGCCTATTCCAGCGCTTAAAGAAGGTGGAAAAAGCTCAGAAACTTGCTAAGCAGTTCGAGAGTTCCCATAATTTCAGTTTGGGTCTTACTAGTCCTATTGAGAATCAGGTTGCTCGGGATTATCTGAATATTTTCTCTCAGAAAAATATTTTTGATGATTCCTGGGGGACTGATTTGGACGAAGTAAGGTCTATAACTAAAAAGTTCCATAATATGAAAGCTCCAGGTGATGATGGAATTTTCTATATCCTCATCAAAAAACTCCCAGAGATTACCTTGTCATTCTTGGTAAAATCATTTAACAGATGTTTCTATTTGGCATACTTTCCTGATAAATGGAAAACTGCAAAAGTTGTTCCAATTTTGAAGCCGGAGCAGCTGAAGCTTCTAGCTACCGTCCAATAAGTTTGCTTTCTTCAATAAGTAAACTTTTTGAAAAGATAATTTTGAATAGAATGATGCTTCACATCAATACGAACTCAATTTTTGCAGATGAGCAGTTTGGATTTCGCCATGGGCATTCCACTACTCATCAACTCTTAAGAGTTACCAATTTAATTCGTTCAAACAAATCTGAAGGCCACTCAACTGGAGTTGCTCTTCTAGACATAGAAAAAACATTTGACAGTGTTTGGCATGAAGGTTTGATTGCTAAATTTAAAAATGTTTAATTTTCCACTTTATATTATGAAATTAGTTCAAAATTATTTAACTGACAGAACTCTGCAGGTAAATTATCAAAATTCCAAATCTAATCGACTACCTGTTAGAGCAGGAGTTCCACAGGGTAGCATTCTTGGGCCTATATTGTATAACATTTTCACTTCGGATCTCCCTTATTTGCCTCAGGGTTGCCACAAATCTTTGTTCGCTGATGACACAGGCATTTCCGCTAAAGGAAGAAGTCTTCGTGTTATTTGCAGCAGACTGCAGAAAAGTTTAGATATTTCTCTTCTTATTTACAAAAATTGAAGATTTTTCCCAACGCTTCCAAAACTCAACTTATAATATTTCCACATAAGCCTAGAGCTTCCTTTTTGAAACCTAGTAGTAGTCACATAGTCACTATGAACGGAGTTCCAATTTCCTGGTCAAACCAAGTGAAATATCTTGGATTAGTACTTGACTAAAAATTAACTTTTAAAGATCACATTGAGGGCATTCAACCCCAATGTAACAAATATATAAAATGTTTGTATCCTCTCATAAACAGGAAATCCAAACTTTGCCTGACGTATAAACTTCTAATACTTAAACAAGTTTTTAGAACGGCCATGCTTTACGCTGTGCCAGTGTCTAGTTGTTGCACTACCAGGAAAAAAGCACTTCAAAGGATTCAACAAAGTTCAGAAGATAATTTTGAACTTGCCTCCCTGGTACAGTACTACCGAAGTACATAGAATTTCGAATGTTGAGACTTTAGAACAAATGTCCAACCAAATAATTAATAATTTCAGGCAAAAATCGTTGCAATCCTCAATTGCAACGATTAATTCCCTTTATACCTAGATAAGATTAAGTTTTATTTTTTAGTTTTAAGATTTCAATTGTTATACTGACATACAGGGTTTAAAAACCTGTTTAAAATACTGAATTGCCATGGCAGGAACAAAGTAAAAACACATAGATATGTATCGTAACAATTAAGGCTGGTAAGTTACTGTAGTAACTGGAGCACCTAAGTTAAAAATGAAATGTAACGTATTTTGAATTTGAAACAAATAAAGAGTTAAAAAAAATTAAAAAAAATTACGTAATCCTACATCAATACCCACCTTTATTTGCTCTTGTGAGTACACTCAAGTCGTGTAAGTCGTGGCTTTTTTTACGTGTTTACGGATTAAAAACCGATTGCGAGTTGAGTCGCAATTTACACGGTACATTTTCATCGATTTCTCGATAACGATACAACCTATCGATTTTATTTAAATCTGTTTTAAGCCATAAACAATTGAATGTCATGCCTTAAAAAACCACAATTTGTGGTGTAATTTTAAAATATGTCTATTACTTGATTAAATTAATAGTTTTTTACTCGGAAAAAATTCGTTCCCATATTCGTGAATCAGAGCCGTGAACTATAGTTCACGGTGTACATTTCCTTCTACGCGCGAACCGTGAACTATGGTTCACGGCTGCCGTTCACGAATATGGGAACGGATTTTTTCCGAGTCAAAAACTATTAATTTAATCAAGTTTAAAATCCTTGGTTACCTTTGTTAGTTGAGAAGAAAGCAAATTTTTTTTTTTAAATAAGGTATATTACATAATTAGATTTGAATCATGTACTTGTAAACCCGACCGGTAAATGTAAGACACTATTAAAAATTTGCATTAACCGTATGCGAATTTGCTGTGTTTCACCGAATGAACAGAATATGTAAAGTGGTGGTCGGAAGGTTTTTTAAACCATTATGTAATTTTAATGTTATATAAATTTTCGAATAAAGTTTGTTTGCTGTTGTCGGAGGCGAACCAGCCTAAGGCTGAAAGCCTCCTAAATAAAGCTAAATTAATTAATTAATTGTTTGCTGTTCGAAAATCACCTCGTGAAGATTTTGTACCAAAATATTCATTCTACAAACAGTTGCTTATACGCTACAGACCATTGCAAGAACTGCCATTAATTTGATGCTAGAAAAAATGTGAGGATATAAGAAATCCACACTTACATTTGCTGCACATGCCATTTGTTTTGCGTGATAAAAAGAGTTGTACCTCACCAAGAGGTGGATTCGGTTCAGTTTTAATTTCATTACACGCCGTGCATCATAGCTATAGGTACACTCCGCATTTCATTCAAACGCTTCCGATGTTCCCACTTTTCGTTCTCCTGCTTCCATTCTGATGTATCATGGCGTGGAAATCATTGCTATAATAAAATCACTGCTTGTTTCAACCGCGCTAGCAACAAGTGCCTTCTATGCTACGCATGATACCGAAGACCGAACGTAAGGCAATCTAAAAAAAAATGAAGCATATTTTCCAAACAGTTTTTAGAAATACATATCCTCTCAGCTATTTTGACCATTTTGACTAAATGATGATTTTCGTCGTAATTAGTGCATTGTGTCATTAATATCGTCTCAATACTACCGATTGGGGCATCTTGAATCCACGGAAAGGAATCCTTGAACCACATCACCTCCGGAGCGACATATTACAGATACCGAAACAACAGCGAGAGGAAAAGTTCTCTCTCGCGTGCGTTTTGACCCGTGCGAGTTGTTTTTACTTTTCAATTTTTCCTCATCAACACAGAGTAGTTGTTCGTGGCGCTTTTCCGAACTCACGAAACTACGATGCCGTATGGTGACGTGAGCGGTTATGACGAAACGAAAATTTTCCTTGACTGCGCCTTTGTCGTAGCGGATTCAGTCTAGTAAAAACCGTCGCTGGGAGCGCGTGGTTATTTAGGCGCAGCTCGTCCAGTCCTATTCTGGGAAAGCCAATCTCTACTAGTGTGGTATTCTTTGTGTGTTGTCACAGGCTATATATATATATGGAGAAATTACTGTCGGTTCTGCAATCAGGTCTGCTTGTTTTCTACTAAAACCTATGTCAAAATACTATGTCGCTCGTGAAACTCACAAGCTTCTGTATCAATCAGGATTATCACTATGTCATCATCATTATGGTAGCAGTTTTGAAATGAAGTGAAAAGTGAACATCGGAGGAGCCATATAGTTAGCAAATACCTTGACCAATACATAAATGTAAATGAGTGGTTGATGCTAAAAATATCGAGTGAAAATGATGTTTTAATTTTTTTTTAGTGAAACATCTTAAAAATATTTACGAAAAAAATCTCCACTATCATATAGGATGCAAGAAAAGCAACGTAAGTGAATAAAAATATAAATGTGTGGTGATAATCAGGCAGATGGCGAATATGTGAAGATATGTGGATGAAGGAAAACTTGGAAGACCATTCTGAGCACATCAAAGCTATCTTACTTTACAGTAGGCACGCAAAATGTTACAGTTCATCTACTTTTCTCTCACAACGAATGAAGAAAATGTATGATTTGAATCCATGTGATGTTTCAAACTAGGGCAAACATACCATTACGGTTTCAATGGTTTATTGATTTTGTTTTTATACTAAAACAACTTCGATGAAACCATTCCAGGATAATCAGAAGAAAAATTCATTTTATAATCAGTAATATATAATAACGCAATAAATCAGTGATAGTGAAGATAACATACCAGTGACGAGAGCGAATAGAAAATCATACATATTAGAGGGATAACGACCAATGGTTCTATGAAACAGATTTTGTATAACGATGTGATACCGAGTGCTTTGCGTAGAGAAAAACGGAAAGAAGCAAACAATATTTCTCGCCGTGGTGCTATTCAGTAAAACAAAAAATAATATTTAGCAGAAAAACGGAAAAGGAGTGCTCTTTACGCACCAGCTACTATAGCCGAGATAAAAGGTAAGAGATATATATCCTTTATTTCATTGCTGTTTTCAAATACTCTTCAAACATCCTTGTTTGTTTTCTGTTTAAAAACGAGTGTTATTCGAAGCAGAAATGGGATTTGCATGGAAGCATGTAAATTTGAGATTATTTTTATTTATTTCAAAGGTATAGGCACTTTCGAGAAGGGTAAAAGCATTCCATAATATCTTATAGCTGAAACGATCTAGTGGCTTCATTTGGCGTGAATAGGGTTTCGAGATGTAATATAGGCCTTTGCTCATTATTTGGGCCTATCGTTAAAACTCACATTAGAAGTTTTGCCTGATTTCCTGATTTATCTACGTAAAAGAGACTGGGTTTTAGCAATGTGTTTCAAATAGTAGCACTGGCCTGTAGCATGTCATAACCCTGTGTGGTGAAATGAATATAAGATTAATCACCCGTAAATAATTGACACGAAAGCGCCGAATTTTTCAAATGAATGGATATGTCCAAGACCCGTAGCAAAGGATTAATTATGGTAGAATGCTCCCAGCGGTGATCATAACAGATTAATCCCGATTAGTCTGTCTGTTACCATTGGTATCAACAACATTGGATAGTATAGTATTAGTCAGGTTTCAGGCAACTATTTTTCAGGTTGTAACGAACAACCGATTGAACACACTTTAAATTAATGACGGGAGTGTCACATAAGGTGACTTTCTGGTCCTCTGTTTATCTTCGACATCTCAAGGGTCGATACGCTTAATCTGCAGAAGGCTCGGATTTCCATTTAAACAACCTGACCTTCGAAAGACTTGTCTATCTTTCTTTTTCGGTACTACCGTTGACTCATTCGGATCTGGTTGAGTTTTGTTGGTTTTTTTTTTGTGATCTTTGCCATAATTTTGTAGTATGCTGGATGTGGCGAACATGGAAAGCTGGTCAGTAAGATGTAGGATAGAGGAAATGTATGTAATGTCGGCTTAAGTGTCCGTAATTTGGGCCCATACATAAATTCAGCAATCGACTAAATTTTCAATAGCAACCAAAAATATCCATGAGTACCGTTCCAATGACGCGTTCATCTAGATACAATTGATAAATAGCAGATTTTTAGCGATGGGCACAATCTTAGATCCATAGCCCAACATTAGAGCCATTTCCCCTATTAAAGCCTCTGTTGTTCTTGGGTGTCTGTCATCCAAAACGATGGAACGGGTTTCGAGAGAGGAAAAGATGTGTACGATTAAGATTAGGTGCCCCCAACTGTACTTATGATCTGTATTGAGATTCTAAGCAACTGTGCCAAATTTGAACGAATTAATTTACAATCTGATTTTTCAGCAGAACCCTAAAGTCTACTTCCGACATCCAATAAGCTTTTTTCCCATTGGAGCAGGATTCACTTCCAGTGGTTTCCAGATATGGCAATATTGCCAAAGGAGGACATAGCACTTCCATTGCAGAAATGAACGCAAATCGTGATCTTCACTTATGCAATCATCATGAACTGTTTGCTTCCAAGGTCGACAATAAAAGCACAAACGAAGTGACAGACGACTAACTGGCGAAGAAATCAATTAATATAATGTGGTTCGCTGTAATAGAATTTTCTTAGAAGCTTGTGCCATCATCCACCAGATGGGATAGTATTTTTGTTTTGGTTTTGCACAAAGTTGATTTTGTGTACAATGATTCTTTGACAGTGTGCAAAGAGTCCATATCTTTTTGTCATTTTTTTTTATGCATTCCAGTTTTGAGTAGAGTGAAAGAGATAGAACCAAAACATTCTAGTACATTTGGTGAAAATGCTAGTTCAATCCAGTAGTAGTGTTGCCATGTGGTATAATCCAGTGGTAGTGGTGTTGCCATGTGGTACACTGAAAAATTTCAATAGCAGGTTAGTCACCAAAGTTTTCGAGCCGCTCCGTCTGTCACTTCGTTTGTGATAAAAGGATCGATGATGAACCATAAGTACCACACAATAATGGTTGCTGCCAAGTATACAGACGATCGCGTGATATACATCGAGAGGTACGCCTGATTCTGTCGACAACTAAGAGAACACTGATGTATGGAAATATGTATGCCCGTAAAACAAATGGCATGAACATCAAATGTCATAGTAACAAGTTCTGCCCGCTCTAGTTCGTCATGCATAAGAGGTACAGATTTGAGTTGTCGACAAAAGTTGTAGTTAATATCAACGACCTTAGCAACAAAAACAATCAATGACACCGATAATGACCATGCATCAGAACCCTAAGACTAGGGAACAACGAATAGAAGATAAGGAATCACATAGGTGAAGACTAACTAACTCATTTTTTCCTTGTTTCAAGATCATCCTCGGTCCAGGAAACCCGAGGCCTTATCACTATCAACAAGGTATAAAAAGTAACAAGGACTAGGATGTGTTCCTTTAATCCTCAGTAAAGGCATGGTATTACCAACAATCAATACGAAACTAACGATTTTAAATTGGCTCACCACTTTAGTAGCCTATTGGTCCCAAGCAAACGATTAACGTACCCTATTCTAGTTGAAATTCTATTACTACACTATGTTTGTTTTGATTCGCTATGAAAGTTTGACAGATAACATCAGGGGTGTGTGGATTCATGCAGAACATGCAGGGGTGAGTGAAATAGCTTGGGACTGCTTGGGACCGTTGTTCTGGTACTGAGTGAGCCAAAAATAATAATGATTTTCTTCGGGACCCAGTGGTCTTAGAGTTACCTCTATGGTATTACCAACAATCAATACGAAACTAACGATTTTAAATTGGCTCACCACTTTAGTAGCCTATTGGTCCCAAGCAAACGATTAACGTACCCTATTCTAGTTGAAATTCTATTACTACACTATGTTTGTTTTGATTCGCTATGAAAGTTTGACAGATAACATCAGGGGTGTGTGGATTCATGCAGAACATGCAGGGGTGAGTGAAATAGCTTGGGACTGCTTGGGACCGTTGTTCTGGTACTGAGTGAGCCAAAAATAATAATGATTTTCTTCGGGACCTACTAGTCTTAGAGTTACCTCTATGGTATTACCATAGAGGTAACTCTAAGACTAGAAGGTCCCGAAATAACGTGCTCAACTTTTTGGCTGAGATCTGGTACTCTCTTCGGTCCCAAGCTAATCGATTCACCCCTCGAAACATAGGAAAAACTAATAATCCCTCATTTTATCTGTCAAACTTTCATAGCGAATCAAAACAAACATTGCGTAGTACTAGAATTTCGACTAGAATAGGGTACGTTAATCGTTTGCTTGGGACCAATAGGCTACTAAAGTGGTGAGCCAATTGAAAATCGTTAGTTTCGTATTGATTGTTGGTATTACCAAGCCGAAGGCGGCGGGTTCGATTCCCAGTCCAGTCGAGGGAATCTTTCGGGTTGGAAATTTTCTCGACTTCCCTAGGCATAGAGTATAATTGTGCTTGCCACACAATATACAAATTCATGCATTGGTATTGGCATCGAAAGTTCTCAATTAATAACTGTGGAAGTGCATTTAGAACACTAAGTTGAGAGCACGCAATAAGCTAATATGCGCTAAGCAATAAGCTTGAAATGCGAACAAGAAGAAGAAAGAAGATGTGTTCCTTGGATTACTGAAAAATCGTGTTCCCCTAGTTTGAAGTAGTCAAGACTAGGAATCGGTGGTAGATCTTACATCCCGTAACGTACCACGAAAAGGTGATCTACCCACGTTACGGGGCACTTGGTGTTGGTATCACTTACTTGTTGATGTCCAAATGTAGCAAATTTACTGCGAATATTGTAGTCAGGAATCAACCATTCGACGGAGGCAATAGAGTTTTCAAGCACTGACGTTTCATTTAATCCAGCAAATTATTTCATATTGCTCGATGGTCGGTGAAATTTTTGATTTGCTGGAACCAGTTCAGCAATTAATTTTGTTGCAACTAGAATCTAAATTTTGGTGTGTACTCCATTGATGTAATATTGTATCTGCTTTTTGATATTACATCATTTTTTCATACATCAGCTTGAATTACGTTGATCGATAATACCATTTTTTTGCTGTGTACCAAGTGCCCTTCTTTTGTTACATGTGTATTAGGGTGGTACAAAACATCCATTTTGCTCCTGCAGGCTCAATTAATTCCAAATCAGGACCATTCCTCAAAAAAAAATTTTTTTTTGTTTTTTTTTAATACGAACTCATATTGCACTGGCCTTTCGAAGTTTATATGGAAATTACTATGTAAATAATATTTTAATAATACGGAAATAAACAATAACTTTTTCAAAAAAAAAAGAAAAAGAAAAAAAGTTAAGTGTCAGTCGAGCCATAACACAAATTTATAAAATAACGAACATTTTGGATGGGTCGAGTGACATTTGCCTTTGATAAAAAAAACACGTCTACTGAGGATTCATATTTCTAAAAAAAATCATCTATCAATGAAACAGTCATCGGTCGTCATTGAAAAGCAACGCAACTATGTTCTGTCAATCTAATTGAAACTTTTATTGGCTCTGTTGTCTTGTGAATTTTAGCTATAACGGCCTCTTTTCTGATTTTTATCTCTCAATCTATGGAATCTACACGAAAACTTTGTTTAAACGAAATTTCTAGAACAGTATAAGGAACATAATGCCGTAGACAACACCTTTTTATATCATATGGGTGGAAAGTTCGTAGAGCAAATACTTTAAAATTCTTCACTTTTTAATATATTCGAGAATGAAACTAAGTCAAACTTCAATAAAATCACTTGGAATAGTCAACCTTTGGTGACAAAGTTGGTACATAACACATTAAGCTTTCAGATTCACATTTCAGTGATTTTTCACAGTTTTCCTGTAATTTTTCAACGAATATCTGTGAAAAATCACCGAACTGTTTACCGAACATTCAGCTGTTGAGATTTCGGTAAAATTTCACAGATTTCGGTAAAATAATCTTAGTGTGTGTGGTAAAATCATAAACAAAAAAGATGATTTTTTTTATTTCACCTTTTTTAAATTTTTATTTAAGACACATTTTTTTAA